TTAGGCTAATGCGCTCCTGCACCTCTTTTTCTACGAAATGACCCCTGACTACACCAAACTGGCTCTCCGTGACTGGGAAAGGAAGCTCCGGCTTTTCCCTGCCGGGCTGATGGAAACAGTCAGTGGGTTGGAAGATGGACTTCTGGGACCCTTCTGCTTCCCAGAATGCAAGAGAGAGAGAGAGAGAGAGAGAGAGAGAGAGAGAGAGAGAGAGAGAGAGACCAGCCCTCCCCCAGTGAGACAGAAATGATGAATTTGCTGATTCTCTTTCCCAGCGACTCAGCAGGCCTAACTGCTCTCCTCCGGGGAGCGATCATAACGCGCCTGCCGCACTAACGATCCGGGTGAAATATGATGCTGCTGTGCGGCAGGCAGCCACCGTCTGGCCTGTTGCGGGGGCCGCGAAGCCCCCTCCCCCTTGCCATTCTTCTGCGCCGAAGCCGGCTGGCTTCCCCGCATACCTCGCCTTTCCAAGAAACTAGCAGAGACAGCAGCTGCCCACCCCGGGTCAGCATTAGGTTTCAGGTCCTGCGTCACCAAGCGGGGGACTGGGGGGACACACCAGATGGAATCCCCCAGCCGAGCCAGGTGAAGCACAAATGTTTCGCCCTGACTGGGAAGAGGATCTCCCCACGTGGTTCTTCACTATGCAGCCATGATACCCCTGAGGGTGCATCGACTATTTAGCCGGTCAGAGCTCCGCTTTCCCCACGGTGGGTCACCTTTGGCGTTGACATGACCTCCGGCAACATGAGACTTCGCGGGGTCGCTCCGACCTAAGGCCCACTTAGGTTCAGTAGGACTGGCACCCAAGCCAGGGTTTGTAAGGGGTCCCACTGACAGCTCTCTTGGTGATTTTAGAAAATGGGAGGGGCTAAAAGGGGTGTTGGCCCAGCAGGGCTTCTGATTGGCTGTGAACAGTAAAAGGCGCCCTGTTAAAAAGGGCTTCTGCCTGAAATGTCCAAGCCAGGGTTTGTAAGGGGTCCCACTGACAGCTCTCTTGGTGATTTTAGAAAATGGGAGGGGCTAAAAGGGGTGTTGGCCCAGCAGGGCTTCTGATTGGCTGTGAACAGTAAAAGGCGCCCTGTTAAAAAGGGCTTCTGCCTGAAATGTTGAAGAGCTACTTTTACGGTTATTACAGGGCTATTTTTGGGCAGGAACGCACAGGAACAGAGTTCCGGCTGGCTCCCAAGTCGGCCACGCCCAGCAGGAACTCATTAGCATAATAGGCCACACCCAACAGCAGGAACTCATTAGGATTGGCTACATTAGGGGTGTGAGGCCTAACATGCAAAGGAGTCCCTGCTACAAAAAAAGGCCCTGGGTTTGGACCACAAACAAGGTCAACAGAATAAGAAGCAAAAGGTGGGTGTGGCTGGATGAGCACACTTCTGGTAACATGGGGGTGCGGCCTAATGTGCCAATGAGCTGTGCTGTCAGGGGTGTGGCCCAATAGGCTAATGAGTTTCTGCTGTTGGGTGTGGCCTATTATGCTAATGAGTTCCTGCTGGGCTTTTTCTACAAAAAGAGCCCTGCGGTTATATATAACCTCACTCTAGGCTTGCCAAGTCCCCTCGGGGGGCGGGG